TCCTTCCTTCCTTCCTTCCTTCCTTCCTTCCTTCCTTCCTTCCTTGCCTCCCTGCCTCCCTGCCTCCCTCTCTCCCTCCCTCACTTCTTTTCCTGCTTTTATTACTTTATAAGTAACTCAGGGTAAGAAACATACACGATCCCCCCCTCCTCTTCCTATTTTCCCCACAACAACAATCCTGTAAGGTGGATTGGGTTGAAACAGAGTGATTGGCCTAAAGTCACCCAGCAGATCCCAGTTCAATGCTCAGAAAAGCTAGAAAGTTCCACCCTAAAACTCTAGGTAGTGGCTGCTATTGAGTAGGGGCAATAGAGGGACATGTGGCCTAAGCCAGAATAAAAAATTTCTAATAAGGCAGAGTTCCATAAGTAAGATTTTAATGACTTTCCTGCTGTTGGGTATGGCAATGACAAATTCTAGTGGTCTTCAGCAACACATGATAGCATTGTGTCCTTTCTGAGGATCAGTTGATGGAGTGGCTGGCATTAGGCTGTATATTGGTTACATATTCCACTTTGGCCATCAATTAATGGCATGATTTTATATAAATAGCTTTTTTATAGCCTCTGCCAGAAGACACAGAGAGCTACATCTCAATGAGGCTAGCAGGCAACATAATAGAACAGGGCTGTCAAACTTGCAGCCTGTGGGCCGGATACATCATGTGCTGGCCACGCCAATGCCTGGTTTAGTGAAGGGGAAAAAATTGTGATACGTCACGTGACAATACGAGTTTGATCCCCCGCTGTAATAGAGGAAAAAGGAGACAGGGAGGGGTGGGTTCCAGCAGAAACTACTGCCGGTTCGCTCAGGGTTGTGCCACGCGCATGCGCAGTACAACTAAAATTGCTCTGCGCATGCACAGAAGCAAAAAACAAGATAGGCGTCACCAGGAGAACCAGTTCGGGGGAGTGGCAGGCCTGGGTCGCTGCTGGTTCCAGCGACCCAGCCGCCAAGCTACTACCAGTTTGGCCGAACCGGGCGGAACCGGTAGGAACCCACCACTGGAGACAGGAATGATTTGTGCAGTAGTGGGAAGCCAGACTGATGAATCTCATTACTGTGTTGAAAACAGAGATGGTGATTTTAGCTTGTAACTGTCAAAGACATAAAAGTACCAAATATGTAGCCCTTGGATAAATATTCCTATTTGTGTGCCAACTTTACCTTTTAATGCAGCTGAAATATGTTTTGCGTGGACTAACTTTGTGTTGCCTTCAGCTAATTGCCTGAGAAAGAATAAAGCTACACTGGGACAAAAATCTTAACTTAGTTCACTAAATCTTGGTTTAAAATTGTTTGTTATATCAGATACCCAATGCTAAGTCATAAATAATAGTTTCTGAAGTAGAAAGGCTGATTCAAACGTCATGCTAAGCCAAAGCCAAATATTTTTTCTTTAGCAGGATGCAAGAATTGGGCAGCCTTTTGTGAATTAAACATTTACACCAATGCAAGCAATTAACAATAATTCTTCAGAAAATAAGGTTAATGGTGGTGTGTGACAATACTGTTTCTTTGGAATGAATGGGGACAATCTGTGCTTGTTCTTTTATGGCAACAGCATGACGATGCCTTGTCTGAAGTTAAGGTTAAAGCAGATTGTGCCTACTAGTGCCAAAGTCTGTTTGCTTGCTTTTTGGCTTTGTTACGGGCAACTGAGTTTTAGAACAACATTTGATGAACTTCAGTCTGAGAAAGGACAGTGAGAGGTCACAGCAGCCAGCAAAGAAAGCTCTCAGGTTACATTAGCTTAGCAAGCAAGCCACATTGCTCCAAGATGCAGCAACTCCCTCTCCAGTGGTGGGTTGCACTTATCGTCACTACTGGTTCGCTGATCTGTTCACACGCGCGCCTGACTTGCGCTACATGCGTGTGTGCAATCTACCGCGCCTGCAACAACCAGCTGATTGTCGGGGCTTGCACACATGCTGCACTCTGTGCACACGTGCACAATTTGCCTTTTGCCATAAAAAACAGGTATAGAGCGCGGGTGGTTCAGTCTCAGCTGCTCCCGGCCACTACCGGTTCGGCCGAACCAGGCTGAACTGGCAGCAACCCACCTCTGTCTCTCTCCTACCCCAGAACAGAACAGGAGCTGGAAGGGACCTTGGAGGTCTTCTCGTCCAACAGGGGCTCAGGCAGGAAACCTTATACCATTGCAGACAAATGGTTATCCAATCTCTTCTTTAAAATCTACAGTATTGGAGCATTCACAAGTACTTGTTTTAACTGTCAGGAAATTTCTTCTAGGTTGCTTCTCTCCTTAATTAGTTTCCATTCATTGCTTCTTGTTCTGCCTCAGGTGCCTTGGAGAATAGCTTGACTCCCTCTTCTTTGTGGCAGCCCCTGAGATATTGGAACACTGCTATCATGTCTCCCCTAGTCCTTCTTTTCATTAAACTAGGCATACCCAATTCCTATAACCATTCTTCATATGTGTTAGCCTCCAGTACCCTAATCATCTTTGTTGCTCTTCTCTGCATTCTTTCCAGAATTTCAAGTTCTTTTTTACATCATGGTGACCAAAACTGGATGCAATATTCCAAGTGTGGTCTTACCAAGGCATTATAAAGTGATATTAACACTTC